AGAGAAAATATATGGGACTTTCGTTGGGACCAACGATCGAAACTGTCCGTTATATACGGGTGTCCGCATTAAGCGGGTGTGTCCGTAGAGCGAGGTTCCACTGTAACTTCCTGTGATTCCGGTGTTGTTTTTGAAATACAGTTGGAAAACGCTTTACAGGGACACGCGCTTGACACCGACACCTCATTATTAACAAAATTTTTCTTCCCTAGGGAAACCCCTTACATTTTCTATAAAACCGCTTCGGTCGCTTTAGTTCCATATAGAACTAGGCATATTTTTCTTTCTGGATCCAGTAAGCTTTCAGTTAAGTTATCAAGTTGGACAGTAGCAACCTCAGTTTGAAATTCTGACCAATCATGACAGAGTAACAAGCAAGATTTTCGACAAAAATCCATTGCCAACTTCGCTATTCACTTACTACTCTTGCAGATTAAATTTGTCCCTTTCCTAGAAAGTTAGCCAGCCACAATTATAAGTCCATACGAAAGAAAGACGATAAAGTGGGCAAGAAAAGTGGCGCTAAAAACAAAGCCAACATTTTGCCCTAAGTCAGAAGTAAGTGTTAACATGATGTTGCCTTAGGAAAGGGGTAGGAAAAAAACTACTTACAAATCAGTCCAAAAAGACGAATGGGTGAAAAGTGCGGGTTTTTTTGTCGCCAAAGGGTTAATTTAGACACCCGTTAAAGGGGCTATATCACGAGGATATTGCTGGTTTAGATCAATTCTGTGCTGAAATAATTGCTTAGTGCCCTGGCCCATACACAAAATGCTCATGTATTTACGCATTCATTCATTCATTCATTTTATTTTGCAATTAACCAGAAATACAACAACAGTGTACAGAAATACATTAGAGATAATATACAATATTGCAACTAGATTATTTACAAGATCAAATGTGATAAAGGCAAGGAAGCCTATATAGAAGCCGGGTCTTATAAACTATAGGCTTCCTGCAACTATAGGGTAAACCGTTCAAGAAAAAGAAAGCTTCGGCTTATGTGCTTTCCTTGCGAGAGCTGCCTTGCATATTGACCGATGATGCCGATGAAATCCTGCCCATGTTTCATTCCATTCACGGGTTAAGGTGAACGCAACAAACTGGCCTGCTCCCAATGTATGGGTCTTTATAGCTCAGTTGGTAGAGCACTGCAGTGCTAGGGCAGGCCATGGCTACTTCCTTTGCCCGCCGAATACCACAGAAGCGAGGCCTCTGCTAGGAGGGACGCATCAACCTATTCATTAAGAGAAACCGAGAGCAAACTTTCCGTTTTGCTACGTCGTACTGAATTCCGTAAGAGGACTGCTTCAGCTATCCCGGGGCGCGGTGCTTTGAAATAGCATCAATCGTCTTTCACTAGAGTAGCGGCAAGCACAAACCCTTCAGAATTTCGGACTGGCTCAACGTTACTTCGTTCTTAAATTAGCACCTAACCTTATTCAATGCACGGCACTTTTGAAAAGCAGGTTATTTTTTTTTGTCTTAAGAACTAGTGCTTTTTTTCACTTGCATAAACAAATAGTCATTCTCTTTTTTAGCTTTTTATCTATGCAATCCTGATGAGTTTTACCGTGTTGAAATAAAGATTGATTATTAGTAAATAGCCCGGAAATCATGGAAGTTTTAACTGATTCAACAAAGCAGAACCCGTAACCCGTACCGGCCAGCGTAACCTGCAGGAGAAGAAGAGACCTCATGGTAATTACGAAAGCAATAACTTACAAATATCAAAAATCATATCCTCAGACTCTTGACTCTTTTTGTACTGAGCAAGTAGCTAACAACGGAGGCCATATTGCTGCCTTGTGTTCATAAAAAAAAGAGAAAAAAACTGAAAAAAAAAGCATTACACATTACACATTATTAAATCGGTTTTGGCAATGTGGTCACTGCATTAATATAAGCCCTGTTGTGGCTAGATTAACTTGATATCCGAATCAAAAAGATATTGGTCATTTTCATTTACCTTTCTTTTCGTTTCTTTATTTACTTCTCTAACAACTTAATCCGCGTCTAGTAAGGCCAATGTGTTTCGTGGTTCCTTTATATATCGGACATTAAAAGACTTATACGTTTATGGGCGCTTTCACAAAAGACACTGGCCTGTTTTCAATAGATCAAAAAGTTTCTTATTTATCAATTAATTATACTAACAGATTACACTATTTGTTATACAATAGTTGCTAGGCGTTCTAGAATGACACTTGAATAATTGCTTTGTAGTTTCTTTTTGATCTAAGGAAATTCACTCGCTTGCCACTTTTGATCCTTGGTCCATGCAGAAAGCGGTGAACTTCAAAGCTGTTGTCCCATATGGAATGCCTTCTTCTACAATTCGAATTAAAGGCTAATAAAGAATGGATCTAAGCTTCTAATTTTCTAAGAGACAATTGTCAAACAAACCTTTGACACTTAGACTGGCTAGCCTCATCACCTCATGGCATTTGCTGATTTAAGTAAACTCCAGCGCATGCAACTTAGAATTGGAGCCAACCCGTAACTGCAGTCCTCAAAAACTGGCTACTATACTTGATAAAAAGTAAAGCAAGTTTGCCGTTAACTACAGGGCAGGATTTTCCCGCATTTTGTCTGGTTTTTAAATCCTTAAGTAAGAGATCAGCATTCAGTTTCTCACCAACCAACTTAAATCGATCAATACATAGAAGAATCGCGCGGAGACAATAATATTTACTGGTGGGCGAGAAAACGTCGCGATATAAGCATTACATGTCTTATTAGGGTTATTACATACACGTGCTGAAAAGGGGCAAATATTGGAAGCTAATAAAAACGTCTAACAGTAAATTTTCCAGCTGGTTGATCTTAAAGGTCTAAAGGGGCATGAAACAGCTTTATCTCTTCAAACTTGCCAATGAACAACACGGTAATTTTTCAGGCCTGCTGCTGGATAAGGTGCGATCGCACGCTTTTAGTTAATACGTGGGCGAAAGTCGGCGGAAACGGGGTGAACAAGAGCTAGTGGCGCTGTTTTTTTCTGCTCACTTTTGTTTCCGCCGTTCCCACTGTCTCACGCGTGGAAGAGGCTACGCGAAGAGTGGCTCCGCCCTCGTCTAAAGAGCCGCGCGCTCAAAAAGAACGCCTGATCACGATCGCCACCCTGGATGAACTCAGTTTGCCATGAAACCTTCTAGTCAACCTTCTCATCAGTTTTTTCCAGGCGCCACCTTTTGGGGTTCGCAACTTTGCGTCTATGGATGAAAAGCTCAATGTGTGATAGCTGTGTAATCGTACAAATAAAAGCTACCAGGCAGCACCTGTCGATGGTTAGGCTTGTGCTGCGGTATTTGGCAAATAACTTTCTTATTCTTTTGGCAGCAAAAGGCGGTCGTGATAATTATCCCATAAGCGACATCAGTCGGTCATTAACATCATATCAATACATCACGTTCTCGCTAAGAGACAATTGTTAAGCAAACATTTAAGTGGTATGATTACCTTTGAACTGATTACGATCGCAGTCTAGTGCTATGTATGAAAGAAGCATGCTAAAAACAAGGTTAAGGAAAAAGACATAACTTATAAGACAAAATATGAAAGTAACTATAGCGAAAGTTATCATTCTTGATTGTAAAATTCACGGCTCTGACAGCACGTCTTTGCGATCACAGAAGTTATGACAATTCTTTCTATTGTTTGACGGAGGTTGCATGGTTAATATGGCGCAGTGGGCGGACTGGTCCTAAATCACTCCACCAGTTTATTTTTTGCTTTTTAAATCCTCGTTACCCAGTGTAGGCATTTGTTCGTATTCTTGCAGCCGTCCATTTAGAAAAAAAAAACATGCGAACTTGAAGTATTCCGTAGGCATTAGTGTACTAGCTATACTGGATCGTCTTCAACTCCATGGAATCTCGGAGCCGTCAGTGAGGCAAAACTTAACTTAAAGCGGAATCAGTCTTGTCTTAAAAAAATGTGATCACTATAATCTTTAGTTACATGTATTGAAAACTGCTAATGGTCACCCTACTTGTGGTTTCACCCGATTGACCTCTGAAGATCTCCATAACAATGACTCGTCTTTAATAGTTGCCTTTTACAAGGGATTGCACACCGATCAAGGAAGCTTTGGAATTTTTCTGTAGTTGTGATACAGATAAAAAGAACAATCTACCTTGATAGTTAGGAATTATTTGCGAAAATGCTTGGGAAGCAATGTAAGTTCGCTGCAAATCTTTATTAATAAGCTATCTGTATTGAATTGGAAATAAAGTTCAATACAAGAAAGTAAAGAAGCGAGAGACAGTTTTAGTATCACCCAACGCGTGCTTTAGATTTAAACATCCATCATTTAAACAGGTGCTTAGATACTGAAAACTTGTCACTCGCTAGAGAAGGAAGTTCATTTGAGTGATAACTGTCTTTATAAACTACGAAAATTAAAGGGAATGTGAGCAAGGTTCGTGCCTTTGTTGACCTTTTAGCAGTTGCAGTGTAAGTCATTTTTGGCGATTGCACGGGAGCTGCTGTAGCAACCGGTCCTAAATTAGATTCCTTCTCATTCAATGCCACGGTATGTTGGTTCTTTGAGAGGGCTAATTCCTTTGGATTGTGAAGCAATGTGGATCCCATTGTTCTTGTTTAAACACCGTATAAATACACACATGGCTGGTATAGCTCACGCTTGCTTCGTCGTTTAAAATTCTGTTGCTGGGGAAAACTCGCCAGAGCGTGGAAGATTGGGCCAATCCATTTAAAATAATCTAATTTAATTAGGTGCTTAGCCATGCGAATACAAGACCGGTTCTGAGCCAATGAGTTTTCAGCGCTCTGACCGCTAACCAATCAGAGCGCGTTAAATTTCTGCACCTGTTCAATACCAGCAAGTACAAATTTCGGCTATCAACTTGCCGTACAAGATTTTGTCAGCTCAGAACTTCCTGAGCACAACCTTTTGACGCTGTGCTAAAAACGAGGTCCGTATTCCGTCTATTCCAAGCTGGTCCTTTACCCAGCCATAAGACCTGCAGAATCTAATGGCAGAAACAGAAGTTCTTGCTGCAAGGCGTGGAAGAGGAGGTATTTTAGTTTAAAATACTGGGAAGTGATCGCACAGTATAGGATTCTATTGCTAACGGTTTGGTCCGAGGGACATGGTTGTAGAAGCACAGATTTTGAAGCTTAAGTAGCATTGGAAAGTTAAACAAGCCTAGCCAATATTGAATTAGCAGGCACTTTTGTTAAACGGCAACTGAACAAATCAACCTAAAATAACAATTTTATGATTTGCCAAATTAAATGATATCTAGTAATTTTTACGCCAGGTGTATTTGAGACTACGCCTCATTAAACGAATTACAACAAAGTAATATGTTTACACAAAAAAACCTGCTAAATTAACTACCTCGTCTGTCGTAAAAAGGCAAAGTATAGGTTATGAAAGTGCTAGAATTTTGTGATCAACTAAAAATTTGTTGTTAAATCTAGGCGGTTTTAACTTTTGAGTATATGAATGAAATTTTTAAGTGTTTATCCATAAATGAGCTCTAAAGCAGATATTACCTGCAATTTCTGATTGTTCTGATGTTGAGCAGAGCTAAAAAGGAGGTTTCTCTGGATTTTTAAAAGGAACTTTTAATCAGCGATTTTAAAGTGCGCGTACTTCTTAGCTCGCTCGTGCAGTCGCGTGGCTGAAACAAAGCTAATCTAACGAATCAGTGAAATCGAAAAGTCATAAGTGGTAATTCCGCTCGCTTGAAAAGTAAGTTGATTCTCCTTAAATTTCTCTACAGAAGTCAAGCAAATTGTTCTTTGCAAAGTGTGTGGGGACCGAGCTTCTGGGAAACATTATGGTGTACTAACTTGTGATGGATGTCGAGGATTTTTCAAGCGCAGCATTCGAAGAGATCTTGCATATCACTGCAAAGAGAGCAACGCTTGCCCTATCGACGTCGCCAGACGCAATCAATGCCAGGCCTGCCGGTTAAGGAAATGCTTCGAAGTTCGAATGAACCGAGATGGTGAGTAGTATGCTGTTGTACTTACGATATAAAGGTGAAAATATGAAGACTGGCAAATTTTCTTCTCCGGGGTTCGCATTAAATAACAAGACGCGGGATCTAACTGGAAATCTACAAATGCATAGCAATACGGCCATTCAAAAGTTGAAATAATTAAACTTAAATTAAAATTCTTTTTCCTTTATGAATCACACTGAAAGGGAGCTAATGAAAAAAACCTGAACGTTTTTAGTAATTTTAAGCTGAAGTTTTCAGGCTGTAATTCAGTTTATTTCTGTCGTGTAAGGTTTTGAGGAGGCTAACCTGCCGAATACATGGTCACCTGTCGAACATGGACTCACCCAAAATTTAAAAAGCGTATACACAGTCTTCACAAAATTCAATAGCTCACTTTGTACATTGCATCAGTTTGCGGGTGGACAGAAATTGAAAAAAAATTCCTTAAAGTTCGCTTTTTATCGCTCCTATATATGCACAATAAGTTCAAAACTAATAGATCTTACTAGATCAAATATAACTTTAATTTATTCTAATTTATTGTTGATCAGCGGGACGTGCTTCATTGTAGCGATTTGTTTTGTGTTTGACATAAAAGTTATAATCGCAAGAAGGACTAGGAAGCGTCAACAGAAAACTCACTTCTCCAAAAATGATCAAACGCAATTTGTTTTTATTGTGCAAATTTCCTGACAACCAGACTGATCTCATATTCGAAAGCTAATCAGTTCCAAATATACAACACGCGCGCGCAAACTATTGTTGTTCATTCACACTTCTAAGGTTCTATTAATTGCTGTTTACATGTAGTTTTGCACATAGCTCCTCCTTTCATATTTTTACTCAATTTACGACGTTTAAGTGTTCGTAATATAACTGGCGAGCAATGTTAAGAGATTTTACCCTCGACTGAAAGTAATTTATTATTTATCATGTACACTAAACCAAACCGAAGCGACACGGCGACTGCAACAGTGCCTCATAGCCTGTGTGAGTATGAAGACTCGATTTTAGCAGAAATTCAAAGCAAACAATAAAATGATACGGTTAGTTGATTACACAAGTAATAGCCCAGAACTCTGACGAAGCAGTATCCGGGCTGCCTTATACAAAATGGGCGTTTTAATGAACCCCAGGGATTTAATTATTCATTCTTGTGTTTAAAAGACCGAACACAAAACAATCCCTGTATACAATTTGAAGCAGTTACTTAAAAAGGTGTTTTGTTTTATACCCGTCTCAAAAAGAACCTTGCCATGCTTTTGTTTGGTTATTTCTTTAGAACCTTTTCCCTTTCCGGTTTCTTTTCACGGTCTTTTGACTCATTTGAGAGTAAACTGTGATTTAACTTTACCGCAAAAATTTATTCATTCTTGCCTTAAGTCAACAACATAATGTATTCAAAAAACAAATGCTTAAGATCCACTTTTGCAATCATTATTTTTACTTTAAAAAGTTTTTGAAAAGGAAATTTCCACTTATTTGGTCCATAGATCAAGACAAGACCATCGCGTACAAAAAAAATTACCCTTAAAGTTTGGTACAATGAAGCTTCAGATTTATTCGCTTTGGAATTCAGCCCGATCGTAAAATAAATATTTTCTTAAAGGTGGCGTTTCCATTTTTTTCTTCAAGCAGAAAAGCAAATAACAAGCCATAGGCGGCAAGGTATACTGAATGAAAAAGGCAAATATGGATTCAAAAACAAATATGGCATAAAAACTATGAGTGATATATAATTTCGACCACCGTCGGAACAATATTTCTAATCTGTTTAAAAAATTTTGTTAAAAGTTATCGGTTTTGCTATTTATGCAGTCGACAATAAAGTAATGGTTTTTAAAAGTCACTTCTCTTGGCTTAGTGTAAAATAAAAGGAAATATTTGGCCTAAGTACACTAATTTTGTTAAAATCATCTTTCTGTTGACAACGCGCCATTGTTTTTTTTATGATTGAACAAGTGATTTCTGAAAGCTAATGACAGCAAAATTAATGAGAGCAGGTTCTGCGATTGTTTACCAATAAAAGAGTTTAGCAACGATTTTTCAATTCATGTTTTGATTAATTTGTTACTTAGCTCGACCAAAGTCGTCTTGTGGAATTTAGAAAACTTATTTGTGTAGCGAACAAAAGCATTTCAATACATATGCAGTCTTCGGGACTTGATATCAATCTAAGGACCAGTTAGCCAATCATAGCAAGGCAAAACATAATCTCTAGGAACGACAGCTGAGGCTGTTATAAACCTATTATCATTTATTACCCGCAATTATCAATGTCCTTAGGGACCCCTCTTTTGTTACGTCACAGTTGTTCGCGTAAGAGAGATAACCAATTAAAAGTTGCTTTACTTCGCGATATCATATCAAACTATTTTTTATCAGGGAAGATTCTTTTTCAGTCTTGTTTTTTAACATGCCACGATACAAAAAGGAATGCCAAAGACAATAATCAAAACAATTAACAACTTCCTGTCGGCTACTTACTTTAAGCAGTAGTTACCAACTTGAAGTTGATATAGGATAATACTACTACTAATAATAATAATGCTAAATACGGTACTAGCTGTTAAAATGTGATGACTGAAATAATAACAATAACGATGATGATGATGATGAAAACAAAGTTTGTCTGAAGAAATGTAACTTGGAAATCTTAGAGGCAGCTTGTTTACATAATTTTAGTAGTGCAATTTTACGGTTCAGCATTTTGGATGAAATCTGAATAGTTTAGCTAGATGCGAGTAAGTTGTTCTGTAACCTTCCCTCCCTCACTAGACTGACTGCAAAATTAATGTTATCCTCTGATAATGGGATCTCAGTGCTGGTGAAATTAGCAATAAATGGTCTATATGTGATGAAAACTATTCAAGTACCATTCGTAATTGAAAGAAAGAAAGATATCAAACGATTTAGTCCAAGACAAAACCAAACGTGATCAGTTTTTGGTAAATACTGGTCAACTTGCAGAAGAGTTGAACTTGAATAGTTTGGGCCAGTTCTTGAGTTGCCATCTTTTCCGTACTACTTAACAGACGAGTTTAGGAAGGGAAAGTTGTAACGTATTGGGGAGCATTTCAGTGATGACAAAGCAAACGCAAAAATTTTTTTAACCTCACTGTGATTTATTTTTAACTTTTTCAGCCGTTCAACACGAGCGAGCCCCACGAGCAAATCACATCAAGAAGGTAGAAAACGAAGAGATCCGATGCAAGACTTTGAAAAGGAAACTAAACAATTATGAGCAAGAACACTTTGACATGCCACCCACCCCACCCACCCAGATTCACATAACCCCGAAGAAAGAAAAGGTGTTCGACGCGCCGGTGACACCAGAGCCTGGTTGCTATAGAAACAGCCCTCCAAGGTTTCTTATTGGGTATGTTAAACCGGAGAGCCCTAAGGATGCTTCAGTAGCCGTTTCCATGGCAGCGACCATGACCCCACCCCATACCCCACAGCATGGACAGCAAGTACCTTACCCACTTGTATATCTCGGCTCTCCGGAAATGTTGCATGAGTCCGCTGTTCGTATCTTGTTTATGACAGTCAAATGGGTTCGTAACATCCCGACCTTCTTTGATCTGCCTTTCCGAGATCAGGCGATTCTTCTCGAGGAGGGCTGGAGCGAGCTCTTCATCCTCAGCGTTGCCCAGTGGAATCTTCCAGTTGAGATGAACACTTTACTCGCCGCTGCGGGATTGAACCCGGAGCGGGACGGGACAGACAAGATGATGTGTGGAATGGGAGACATCAAGGCGTTGAAAAACATTGTTGAAAGGTTTCGAGCTGCCAATATTGACCAGACGGAGTACGCATGCCTGAAAGCTATTCTTCTCTTTAAGCCAGGTTGGTAATTTTGTTTTTAGATACCAACAAAGCAGTAGTATTGGGTATAGTTAATAGGGGTGCTTACCATTAGCCGTCTTGAAAGTCGTAGAGAGAATTTCACTATCAATCCGAAAACTCCAGCCAGGAAGAGTCCAACCGCCACCCGGTTAGCTCAATGGGTTAAGCGCCGGTCTGCTGAGTGGGAGGTCGCGGGTTCTAACCCAGGCCGGACTAACACCCAGAGTCTTTAAATAACCGAGGAGGAAGTTGTTGCCTTTGTAATAACATCTGCAAACGGTTTGACTTTCTAGTCTTCTTGGATAAGGACGATAAACCGTAGGCCCCGTCTCACAAGCCCTTGCACATCTAATAAAAAATCTGTGGGACGTTAAAGAACCCACACACTCTTCGTAAAGAGTAGGGTACGTAGTGCCTGGCGTAGTGGTCTATCTCACTTTCACACTCATGTATGGGGGCATCATTACTCAATCCTTCATTACCTGTAAACTTCACCTAAGTAGTCTGGCAAAGTCCCCCAACCAGTGTTGTAAATTATCCCTGAAAAGCCCTGAGGGGAGTGGATAATAAGATATTTACAATTTACAATCTATTCTAGGCTATGTTCACGGGTAGCTTTTGTGCCGGCACGCAAACCATACCTTACGAGGCTTCTGTTCACACAGTAAGAACGGCGATTTGTGGAGAGGCATAAATATATATCGGATAGGTGTTCATATTATACCGGACCTTTTCGTGCCGGTACAAAAAGCTATCTTGTACAGTGTGAACATAACCTTAAACATAGGAGCTTACAATCGCAGAATGACCCTTTTTCAAAGTGGATAAATACACACTCAACACTGTTATGACACTGCTATTTTCTATTTCGGCGGCAAGGTAGAAATACTCATGCTGTTTGTATTGATAATTCCCATTTCAGATACCAGAGGGCTACGAGCACCAAACCATGTGGAACAGCTTCAAGACCAAGCACAAAGCATGCTGGGAGAATACGATAATCAGACCTATCCGAGTCAACAAGTACGTTTCGGAAGATTACTTCTGATGCTGCCTTCCTTGCGAGAGCTGTCTGCAAAGTGCATAGAACAGATATTTTTCCGCGGTACACTCGACAATATTCCAATGGAAAGACTTCTGTCCGATATGTTTAAGTCAGCTTAATTTGATACCTTTATAAAAAAGGCGGGAAAAGTTACGGACAGACAGCTTAGATCCACTACGGTGCGACGTCCTCATCAGAAGAACACAAAGTGGCCTCGACATTTCCCATAGAACAATTAAGAAAGAGCAGATAACAAACGTTGATACGTATGACGAGTGCTTCTTTGTTGTAGGCTATAAACTTTAATTTCTGAACGTTCATGGTTGTCATAAATATTTTACAATTCCATTAACGAAGATATACATCCATCTAAAAGCAGCTGTTAGTGGAGGGTCTCAATGGGGTGGTTATTTTTGAATTCTGTATTAATTAATATTAACTGCATGTTGCGTTTTGGAGGTTGTCGGGACTTTCACTCACAATTTCGAAATATTTAAGCAAGTTGTAAGGTCTTGTCTAAGACAAGTGATGCCTAGAAGGTGTACAAAATGCATGGGAACTGGTTTTTCCACTTTGAGAGATTCTTCAGGAGCCAGAATTCCGTTAAGATCAGCTCAAATAGTGAGATTTTAAATACCTCGAAACTTTTTGACGGTTAATTTTCATATGCATTTTCGACAGTTCACCGTAAAAAAATCACCTTTTTCGACGGCTGACGGTTAAATTTCAGGCCGCTTTTTTCACGGCTGAAGGTTAACCCCATTGAGACCCTCTAAGTACAAATAGGTTAGTAAACGAATTCAGAACGCAGTCGAAATGCGTTAAATGAAGTCAAATAGAATTCTACTGATCAGTGAACTGTACAGTACCTCGAAGTAGGCAAAATATTGTTCGTTTTACTGAAAACAGTATAATGAGTTTTCCTCAGTTGTTTGAAAATCTTTTCAAATGTGTATCAACCATAAAAGTGAGAAGTTCGTGGTTATTTTAAACCGAACCTCCTATCCTTTTTGATTGGGCAAGATCCCCGTCCTTTCTCAAGATAGTTGCGGATGCTATATGGTGGAAAACCTCCAAAATTCCATTTTTTCTTTTTTATTATTCTCTTTTAATTCTTGTCTTTTTATTTGTCTTTTTATAAACTTTTTGCGTGGTTTTCCAGAAAAAGGATATAAAAATATTTGAATTTTTTTCTTTTAAATATTATAAAATAATCACTAATATGAAAAAGTAATTTAAGTTTTTCATTTCATCAATTAAAGCTAATCTAATGGCAAGAGCAATTTGCTAGCTTTTTAAATCAAAATTGCCAAAATGAAATAAAATTTAAACGTCATCTAAATAATTTAAAATAAGATAAGTTGGTTTTACGGTGCAGGACTAGAGCGGTTTTCATTTGAGTGTCGAAAAGTAATTGGTTTTGCACTTTCTACACGATGCGATTGGCTTAAAAGATTCGCGCCACCTTTTCATCCAATCAGAAGTAAAACCAAAGCCAATTGTGACGCGACGCTTTGCGTCAGCCACATGTAATTACTTCGAGTTTTGATTGGTTCAATGTATTGTCTGTGTCCTATGTGATTGGCTAGAGTAATTACTTTGGTTTTGGTTTTACGACACTCAAACGAAAACCACTCTAAAATAAGGCGGTTATGTCGTATTTTTTCTACTGATGAAAGTACCGTATTTGATTATTCTGGATTTCTTAACAATTTGTGCACGAGAGAAGACTGGATACTTGATTAGGAATGACCAACCAGTGGTATCTTGAGTAGTTACTCCTGGTAGGGTAAAAAATATTATTGAAAGCGGAACAATTTAGGTTTCAGAGAAACTGCCCACTGACCCCTCCCCTAAGCTGACATTAACACTTACCTTTCACTTAGGGCAAAAACGATGGCTTAGGGGAGGGATAGGAAGGCAGTCTCCTAGAAACCTGAATTGATCTGAAAAAGCTCTGGCAGCTGAAAGGTGTAAAAAATTTGTACATATGTAAATAAAATTACGCAACTTACAGGTTTAAAGTTACCTTGAGAGAATAAAAAAAATCACCATTTGTTTCCTGGATAAGCAAGTTGCGTTGTTAAACAGCTGGAAATTTTTCCCAACAGCGCGCGCTCTCATTGGTTACTTCGAGGTCACATGACATCTAACAACGAAACTGTTTCCCGCCAAAATCTCTGAGTGGGCAACAATTCAAAGTCTATGACGTCAGAGGGTAACAGTGCACTGTTACCCGCGAATGTTGAGCGCTCGCAAGATCTATTTTCATAAATTTGTACACGAAAAAGTTTTTCTTCGTGGGTTATAGAACAAATAACTTAAAAACTGGTCCCTCTGGAAACAGTTAATTTTTTTCCCCTGGAATCTCAATGTCCCTCGGGAAACAAGATTAACTGTTTCCCGAGGGACCACTCATTCAGTTTTTATTGCACCCATTGTATCGGATTGGTATTAGGGAGCTGGCAAAGACGTTTCCTAGCAACACATGTCAACCTCAAGTGGACTTTTTGCCCAGTGATTTTGCCCACATTTTTTTTAGCAAATCGTCTTCATCAGAGTAAATACACTTAGTGATTCAAATGTGGTAGCGTTAAGAATATCAAAATAAACACGAACTCACTTCCGGTCGATGTGTTGTCGCTCAAAAACGTCTTTGCTTGAAGCTACGGTAAAACGGCAACAAAATCGTGAAACTTGTTTTGAAACATTGCTGCAGAAAGTGTTGAAAGCGACGTTACGCATTTTACCACCCTCGTTCAAACCGTTCTTGCAACAAATAAAGGTTGCAGCAAGTTGCTTGAATACTGACTTCTGATTGGATATAATTACGCGTGAGCCATGTACTGGATTTACATCACTTGCTGCATGCAAAACGGGTTTGCCTTGGGCCGGTAAAACGCTCAACATGTACAGATTTGTTGCAAAAAGTAGAACTATTCTCTAGTTTCGGCAAAAACTTTTGGCAACCAGCAACAGCCTGATTTGTGGCAAGACGGGTTTGAGCGTGGGTGATACTAACGAGCAACATCGTGTTGCAACTCATTTTGCATCAATTTTGCCAAACTGTTTTACCGTACCTTAAGCTCCCTATTGGTGGTTTGCAGTTGACGTTAAGACGGCCATGTTGGTTGACAAGAACAGAAACGTCCACAAATCTGAAACACTTAATCATCCATATCCCATTTTAAGAAAATCCTTTGATACTAGAGTGGTTCAGATCATATTATTTGTCTGATCGTTACCAGACTGTGAAAGTAAACGGTGGTATGTCATCCAGTCGTGAGCTACACTAAGGTGTTCCCCAGGGTAGTGTCCTTGGACCTATTTTATTTCTGCTTTATACCACACACTCGGGTGATATTAACGGAGCTCCAAGCGCGCGGTTCGCATGCACGAGCGTAACCCCATACCTAAGAAAATGTGGTAATCTACCCATCCTAGAAATTCTGGTTATCACGTGACCGTACGTCTGTCCGACCAACCAACCGCCCGTCCGTCCGCACCACAGACATACCAATGTAAAATAACTCAATCAACAGGTATGGCAGCCCAAATGGAACTCGAGGATATTTGGCGGGAAATCGCATTGCCACCCGCATCTTGTGAAGCATAGACAACTAAAGAGTCAGTAAAGACGAAAACGGAAAGCGGAAATTTTTTTCTGTTTCCGTGTTGTCTTGAATATTAAGCTTAGATAAATTGTCATGTCCACAAATTTTGAATATAGAGAAAGAGAAAGACAGAGAAAAAGAGAAAGTAGGCGACAGACCAGCGAAGCTCAACGAGAAAAAGAGCGACAGAGAACTAGAGCGAATGATAAAAAACAAAGGAGGCATTTTTTGTTAGGAGAACAACATGAAAATTTTGTGGCGCCGGTGAGAAAATGGGAAATGCTAGCGCCCACCAAGGTGAAAATAAGCGGCAGTGAAAAAAACTGAACAACAACACGTACGACATTCGTTGTAGTCGTGCAAAACAACGGCAAAATAATGTACAGAAAAAGGGTGCTGCACCTGCAAAGTTGTTTTTTGCTAATTAGACCTATTGTTGTTATTCACCGTTCTCGTTGCCTTCACCGCTTAGCATTACACGATTCTACATATTTTGTTTGAGCAATCTATAAATATTATCGAGAGCTTCACTATTAGCCCTGGCTAAATCTAAATATTATGAGACATCATAAAGTTGACTTTCCTTTGTATGCGGATGACAAGCAATCATACCGTAAATCCTCTATTAAGCCCCCCCCCCCCGGGGGGGGCCTATTTAGAAAAGACAAGACAAGACGAAGCTTTATTTGGAGGCTTATACAGTCCTATGTACATCGACTTTATCCAAATAATTTAAAATCATAACAAAAAATGCACACCAGTGGAACCATAATCAATGTTAAACTAAAGAAACAATAAAAAGGTAACTTTCCTTTAGATTCGGATAACAAGCAATCATCCCGTAAAACCTCTATCAAGCCCCCCCCCCCCGGGGGGGGCCTATTTAGACAAGACAAGACAAGACGATGCTTTATTTGGAGTCTTATACAGTCCTATGTACATCGACTTTATCCAAATAATTTAAAATCATAACACAAATTGCACACTAGTGGAACCATAATCAATGTTAACCTAAAGAACTAATGATCTTCTTTTCTCATAGCAGTCGAATACGTATTTTGCAATTAACTTTTGCACGGGTTTGTTCTTGCTCGGAGGGTTTATTAACAACAGAAAAACATTATCTGGTGCCATTCTGTTTACTGATATTCTGTATTCTTTGTTTAAGTATTCAAATAAAGTACTTCTTTTTTCTTGATACTCAGGGTACAGAGTTAAAAAGTGTACTTCATCTTCTACGTCTTTTTTACAGAAAGGACAGATCCTCTATTCCGGTTTCTTATAAGGTCTTACATACCGACCTGTCTCTATCGTTAATTTGTGATTACATAGACGGAGTTTAGTTAGAGTTATCCGGTGTTGCATGTTGGTGACCTGACGGAGACAATCATCATATTTATAATTTTCTATTCTTTCAAATTTTCGGAAGGTTCNATAATCAATGTTAACCTAAAGAACTAATGATCTTCTTTTCTCATAGCAGTCGAATACGTATTTTGCAATTA